GATTTCTTGCTTTCTGTCTCTCTGTCTTTCTGGCAAATGCACGTGCCCTATAGCAAAAACATCTCTAAAAATAAGGAAACAATGCCAGGCATGTTTGTGTATGCGTCCAAAACCCCAAAAGAAGGGCGGAAGAAAGGGAACTGCTATATGGCCATACCCCTGGGGGATGGTTCCTCACTTCCCCTCTCTCTGTCTTTCTCCACCATGTGCATACACCCTATGGCAAAAAAAAAATCTAAAAAATCAAATCCTCATGTGAACCAGAAGAGCTATACCATGCAAGCCACTCTGCTGCCATTCTTCCTGGCCTCAGTGTCATTTCCCTCCACTCCAAACCCAAACCACCAAGGCCTTGGGTGACAGTCATCAGTGTCATCACCGAGACTGCAGTACCCCGGGGGGTGCTCGGGGGCCAGGCACTCACTAGGCGGCTGAGTCATTGAGCTGGTACTCCCGCGAGCGGCCGAAGCAGGCCTGCACACCGTGGTCGGCCCAGAGTCTTCGGATGACGCCGGACAGGTCCTCGGGAAGCACGCCCTGCTCCTCGGCCGTGCACGACAGTGCGAACAGCTGCCTGGCGTCGTCCTGGGCACAGCGGGGGGGAGTCAGCCGGGCGAAGGCGCGCACCCCCGCCCTGCCTGTCAGAGGCAGGAATTCTCGAAGCCTCTGGGAGAAGGGTGAGGGTGGGCGGAGGTACGTACAGCGCGGGAGGGGTCGGCGAAGTCGATCTGCAGGTTGCCCATGGCCTTGACGATGGCCATGATGGACTGGTTGGTGTTGCTGTAGACGACCGCCCGGTACTGCCGGCACTCCTCCTCTGAGTAGCCGTCCTCGTGGATGATCCTGACAGCCGGGGGTCGGGGTTAGGGGCCGCGGGGCGCGGGGAAAAGATGGGGAAAGGGCCCTGGCCCACTGGGGCCTCAGGCTAGATGGCTGCCCCTGAGAGGGCCCCAGGCCTGACTCACACTGGTTGGGCCTGTCCTGGGGAGCAACACAGGCCCAGAGAAGGGAAGACAACGTTTAGGGGCCGCCCACGCACACACTTACTTCATCTGCTTGACGATGGTGCTCTTCCCCGACTCCCCGGCACCTGGAACAGGGGTACAGGTCAGGGGGCAGGCCCAGCGGGGCTCCACAGGCATGCGCCAAGCGGCCAGTGGCCTGCAGCCCTGGAGACAGAACTCACCCTTCCCATCAGCTGTACCATGAGATGGAGCAGCTGGGGCTGGTGGGGTGCAGCTGGCAGTGCCACTGTGGCCTAGGAAGCCCAGCGCTTGGCCTAGGAAGCCCAGGGGCTAATTCCCTGCAGGACCTGGCTTCCCACAAGTACTACCACCCACCAGGGCTCCCTACAACCCAGGCTGATTTCTGGGGTCTCAACCTGAGACTTGGGGACAACATTGCAGGGGCCACCTGTCGTTCTCACATACACGGCTTATGCTTCTTGGTGCACAGCAGCACGGCACCTCAGAGAAGCTGGCAGGAGGGCGACCTGCAGCCCTGGTTCTCCCCACACCCTGGGCCTTAGTACCCCGGGAGTTGAGGCTGGGGTCCACCATCACTCTCTCGCCTCCTGGATGGGACCCAAGTTCCAGCTTCTGCCCACGGGGCCCAGGTCTGTCCGAGCAGATGGAGAATGAATCTGGAGACCTGGGAGAGACACTGTACCCACCCCCGACACCGGGCACTGGTTCGAACTTCCCTGGCCTGGCAGAGCCCCTGCCCCGTACTCTTCCTTTGCTGGTACGGAAAGGCGGGCTGGCATTCTCCCCGTGCTCGGCCCAGCAGCCCCTAAGCGATACTCTTCTCCCATTTCAGAGGAGGCTCAGGAAAGTAAACTCTTAGTTCAAGGTCACGTAGGTGCCTGCTCCTCCCCGCCCTTCTTCAAACGTGGCTCAGACACTGGGGGATGGCACTTAGGGAGGCTGTTTGTAAAAGCAGATTCCAGCCCAGTCACGGTGAAGCAGGTGGTCAGGGGATGTTCTATGACACGGGAGCCATATGGAAGAACCTGCGATTGGGTCCCAGGTTCAACCCGAACACGCTGGGTGTGTCGTGGGGCCTGTGGCCGGAAGGCTGGAGTTGGGAACTGGTGTGGTGCAACCCCTGTATCTTCCTTTCATGAAAGAAACTTAAACACTAAAAGCAGATTCCCAGGTCCCACCCCAGACACACAGAACCAGACTTGAGGGGTGCCACCCAGGAAATGCCCTCCCGGAGAGTGTGCCCAGGAGGCCACCTGCCTGCCAGGCCAGGGCCTCGCCTGGACCCTCACGGCTCCCTGTCCTGAGCTCCAGATAGGCTGGCCCTCAGCTGGGCCCCTCTCCTCCAGCCCCATCACTGCCAGTCACACGTGCACCTGCCTGGCCCTGCCTCTTGCCCCTCCAGGCCTTTCCCATGCTGTTGTTTGCTGGCATGCCTGCCCAGGCCCATCCCCTGCGCTCAGCTCTCCTGTCACTGGGGCAGGTCTGTCCCTCTGAGCGGCTCAGCAGTGGGTGGCAGAGTCTGCAGGGAGGTCCAACTTGGGAACTCTGTCCGCCCCCAGCCACTATCTCTTGGGACCGGGGTCATGGCAACCTCAGAGGATGAAGGGGGAACGCAGCAACTAACACCAGCTAACACCAGCAGCAGCCATCGCATTGCATGGACAGGAACGGCAAAGCCAACATGCCCACCTCCCCATCTTCACGGTGCACCGGAGGGGTAGGGTCTATTTGCCCCTAGCCAACGGGGGAGGAAACCGGGCCACAGCCAGGCCCAGATCACACAGATCGAGTCCCATCTGCGTGGCCACCTTGCCTGCCACGTGGCACTCCCTAGAGCTGTCCGAGTGCCTGGCACGGCAGTGGGCCCACAGCTCTACCTGCCCAAGGTCACACCCGGCCTCCATGGGCGGGCTCTGGTCCCGGCCTCTGCAGTGCCCAACAGGCAGCAATGGGGCAGCAGCCTCACCCAGCCCTGTGCCTCCGTTTCCAGGTGGAAGGAGAACCAGCGTGGCCCTCAGCACTAGGTCTGGATATGCCCACACCCCAGCGGCCACTGAGGCCTCACCAACACCACCAGGTGCTGGAACCACTGGGCTCTGATTGTCCAAGGCCTGCTTCCCAGGATGGGGGGCAGGATGACACAGATGTGCAGGCTCTGGGAAGGCTGGGGTAGAGCCGGGGTAGGGAGGCCCTGTCTCGCTCCAGCCCCTGGGCACGAGGTAGACTCACCCAGGTGTGGGCTGCAGCCAGATAGCAGCGCCCCTGCCTCCCTGCCCCCGCCCTTCTGGGCAGTGTGTGGCAGCCGGGACCCTCCCATTAACATTCCTCCTCTTGGGGAGGGAGTTAAGGCCCACCCCCTAGCACCCAGATACCCACAGGGCAGTGGGCAGCAGCAGCCTCCTGCTGTCTTTCAGGGGCGAGGAGTCACACCCTGCAGCTGAGGGGACCTGGAGCCACAGTCTCGGCCAGGGTCAGGGGCCCTGCCGGGAGAGCAGAGGCCAGGGGTGTGAAGACGTGGGTCAGACCAACCACGCTGCCCAGGCAGTGGAACCGAGACTCCGAGAGGCCAGCCATCCAGGACACACCAGGACACAGCGACCTGAGGTCCTCGGTCAAGGTGGCCTCCTCTGCTGCAACTCTGGGACCCCTGCCCCTCTGAAGCATCAGTTTTCCTATCTGGTCACTGGGGTGGAGAGGGTGTCAGGCCCTTTAATTCCCTTGGTCAAAGGTGGTGTGGGCCACAACCCTGCCCGGTGAAGGTGACAGTGACAGTGATGGTGACAGGGACTACAGAGCTGCCCTGCTTTGCATCTGATTTCCCTCACCACAGCAGTAGCAGGCCGGGACACTGAGGTGGGTGGCACTAAGCAGGTTCAGCTATGAGCCCAGACACTCGCTCACTGCCCCATGCAGCCAAAGGCCTGCTTCTCTGTCTCCTTTGAGCCTCAGTTTCCCCTCCATAAGCCTCTCAAGTTCTGAGCTAGGAGGGCACTCTCGGCCCCCAGGAGAATTGCTGTCAAAGAGCCCCATCTGACAGGTGGAGAAGAGAGGCCGGAGCCTTCACCCCGGACTTGGGTGGCCATGTCGTTCTAGCAGCCTGACTCCGGCGGGAAGTAGTGGTGGCAGGACAGGGCGTGGTGCTGGTGGCCAGGCAGGAAGCAGGGGGAGCACCGGGAAGGAGCCATGGGCACGGCTCAGGAGTGGGCACGGCCTGGACCAGCTATGGTAGAAGAGGGGGCTGGAGCAGTGGTAGGTGGGGTTGCAGCACGGCGTCCGGGGCAGGACCCTGGCTCTCAGACTTGGCGCCCTGGGCCCCCTTTCCAGAAAGGCCTGAGGGACCTCCCCCGGCCCGAGAAACTGGCATGTGGCCCAGAATGCACGTGCCCCTGCTGACCACAGCGCCGTGCCTTCCTCTCAGGAGGGGCTACGCCGGCCAACGACCGATTGCCACGAAGTTGCTCAGCAGAGGAACTCTGCCAGTGAGAGGTGCCAGGAGTCCCCCTCCTTGCCCCGACCCACAGAGGGCCCCAGCAGGTGCACCATCCCCAGCTGGGAAGGACCAGAGGGCCCCCCGCAGTTCCCCGGGGTGGCCCTGATTCTTACCTCTCCCCACCAGGGAACAGACTGCTGCAGCCCTTGCCCTGCGGCGCAGCTGCTGGGCCCTCGGCAGGTGGCAGAGGTCGTGGTGCTGCGCGGGGCGGCAGCGGCTGCTCCACATTAGGACATCTGGTCCCACTCCGGGGACACCGAACTTCACAGGGAAGGAACAGATGGGCGAAGGGAGACGGATCCACCCCACCTGGCCAGTGAGGTCATTAGGGCCTCTACAGCAGGAGGTCACAGAGCAGGTGCTAGGTGGTCATCCCAGACCCAGCAGTGGATCACTGAGCTCTGTCCATCTAGGACCCCCCCAGGTCCCGCTTGATCTGCTGGGAGGCCGTGACACCCCACTGTCCTCTGTGGCCTCAGTTTCCCCTTTGCAGAAGCTGCCCACCCTAGCCAACTGCCCACCTCACTTTCAGATCCTCTCCCAGAAAGGGCCAGACCAGTCACAGCCAGGATGCCCACCCTGATCCTCCCTAGGATTGTCAAGAGCTTCAGCCTCCCTCCCCTTTCCTGGCACCTCTGTGAAACAGCACTGCACCATTCTTTCCTGCTGAGAGAGGGTGACATTCCTGC